CACTCGCACTCGCTTTGCCGAGGCTGTGGAGGGTGCCACTGCAGCTGCTCTGGTGAGGAGGCCACCACAGGATTGCACCTGGGGCTTCCAACCTCCCTGCTCCACAGGCGGCCCCACCCCTCCTCCCACAGCCTGGGTGCTGGCTACCCTCTGCCTCCATCTCTTGCTCCCCCCTTGGTCTACCCCCGCACCTCCAGCCTGGAGACAAAATACACGCGGCAAAAATAGCTTTGTTTCAGGAACCAGGAGACTTCTGGAAACCCCCATGCTCCGTGCCTACCGTCATATAATGGGGCAGAGAGCTTAACTTCGGTTTCTTCTTCTGTGAAATGAGAATAGTAATACGTGCTGAAAAGGTCTGGCATATGCTAATGTATGTGACAGTGCTTTGAAAATGGAAAATCTCTCTATAGATGTGAGGGATCCTGGTGATGCCAAGCCTCAGAAGCCCCAGATGAGGTCACTGGCCTCCTACCCCCTCCATTGCTGTGGGAGACGACTTCCCGCCGCCTCATCCTGGCCTTTCTTTTTTTTTTTAAATTGAAGTATAGTTGATTTACAATATTATATTAGTCTCAGGTGTACAGCATAGTGATTCAATATTTTTATAGATTATACTCCATTTAAAGTTATTACAAAATGATAGCTATATTTCCCCGTGCTTATTTATTTTATACATAGTAGTTTGTATCTCTTAACCACCTACCCCTATCTTGCCCTTCCCCCTTCATCCTGGCCTTTCTTTTTTAATTTATTTAATTTATTTATTTTTGGCTGAGTTGGGTCTTCGTTGCTGCGCGCTGGCTTTCTCTAATTGCTGCGAGCTGGGGTTACTCTTTGTTGCGGTGCACGGGCTTCTCACTGCGGTGGCTTCTCTTGTTGTGGAGCACGGGCTCTAGGCACATGGCTTCAGTAGTTGTGGCACATGGGCTCAGTAGTTGTGTCTCTTGGGCTCTAGAGCATAGGCTCAGTAATTGTGGCGCACGGGCTTAGTTGCTCCACGGCATGTGGGATCTTCACGGACCAGGGCTCCAACCCGTGTCCCCTGCATTGGCAGGCAGATTCTTAACCACTGTGCCACCAGGGAAGTCCTCCTGGCCTTTCTTACTGCAGAGGAGAGGCAGTAGGGTGAGGGGGACCATCCAGGGATTAGGGGCCAAGCAGGTAAGTTCAAATCCTAGTGCCATCAGGTGTAGTTACTAGCTTTGTGACTGTTGGTGATTCTCTTAAACTTTTCGAGCCTCAGTTTCCTCATCTGTATGGTCTGGAAAATAATACTTATGCCTGATCATTGCTGTAAGGATTAAATAAAATACACAACCATATAAAGCACACAGCAGTTCTAAATGTTCAATATAAACTTGCTGTCTCTTCCCCTTTTCTTTTCCTGCTTGAAAACCCCAGAGGGAGGCATTGGTTCTTGGGAACCCATCTTCACAGGCCACAGACCCCCAAGAGCTGGGTGGCATCACACCGTCCATCTGGTACATCAGTTGCAAACTGGTGGGCCCTGAGCTAGATCCAGCCCTTGGAATGCTTTGTGTGATTTATTCAGTGTTAGAACAAAACACAAAATTAGTTGCCAACATTAAAATTAGGAGATATTACATAAATGTCTGGTTTTCCACCTTCTGTTGAAATGTTGGCAGAGCTGGCGACTCTGGGTTCACGTTCTGGTACAACCTCTACTGTCAGCTCAGCTGGAGCTGTGTGGTTAGTAGCTGCCCTCATTAGCTGAGGCAGTGCCTCTGTTTATCTCAGTCTTCACCCCTCCCTATTGTTTACTACCAGCTTTTCTCAGTTATAGTGCCTAGCAGGCTCCTATAGGCATTTAAGTCTGTGAGCCTTTCTATAGCCCCTCTGCATTCATTCATTCAGAAAGTATTCAACAGCCAGGCGCTGGGGGGAGGGGGGAACAGAGAGTTTGCGTTTAAGAGGGACAGAGTTTCAGTGGGGGAAGATGAAAAAGTTCTGGAGATGGATGGTGGTGAAGGTTGTACAATAACATGAACGTACTTAATGGCATAGAACTGAACACTTAAAAATGGTTAAAATGGTAAATTTTATGGGATGTATCTATTACCACCATATATTTAAAATCAATCAATATCAATACAACTTAATATTTTAAAAAGTATTCGACAAGTATTAAGAGTCTACCAGGCCCCAGGCTCTCTGCTGGGTGCTAAGTAAGACAGATGTGGTCACCACTGTGGCCCGTGAGACAGACACTAAACGACAATTTCATAATTGTTTCACTTGGATAAGTGCTTCCAAGGGAGAAGCCGCACAGGGTACTGGGAGGTCTTACCACAAGGGAACCGTCATTCAACTGGGGCGCCTGAGCAGCCTTCTCAGACTAGGAGGAGGGGTCACACGGAGGATGAGGGTGTGCTGTTCCTCACCCCACAACCCTCACCTCTGGACCACCCGCCTCCAGGCTTCTTTCAAGGGAGAAATCAACTTCAGTCTCATTCCAGCCTCTGTTATGTGGAATTTTCTTTCACTGAGAGCAGAGCCCAGTGGTTACTGATCTAGGCTTCCCGTGGAAGCCTTTCTCAACCTCCCAGTTGCAATAAGGTTCCCTATGATAAGCTGTCCCAACATTCTGTGCTTCTCCCTTTCTGGCACTTATCCAGTGGTGATGGAATTATTAAATGTTTAGTGTCCATGTCATCACGTCTAGCTTACTGAACGTCACACCCCCGGGCCCCAGCAGAGTGCCTTGGGCTGTTAAACACTGCACACTTGTTGAATATACCAATGAATGGAGAGAACTGGGCCAGGTCAGGGGTTATAATCTTCAATGCCTACAGGAGCCTGCTCAGTCATGTAAATGAGAAAAGCAGGCAGGCGGTACACAGGAAGGATGTTTGCATTCCTGCCTGAAGGAGGACACACCCTCTCCCTTGAAGGACAGCCTTAGAGGTTGCACCTAACACTTGCTCTTATTTCCATTAACCAAACCCGAGTCATTTAGCCATACCCAGCTGCAAGGGAGGCTGGGAAATATAACTGAAATCTGGGCAACAATGAGCTCAGCTAAAAATCGAGGGTTCTATTACCAAGGAAGAAGGAGAAAACAGATTTGGGGGACAACTGAAGGTCTGTGCAGAGAGAGAGCTAAGATCTGAAGAGTGGATACAAGTTTTCCAGTTTGGTGATTCTCAACGTGTGGCCCATGGGGGTCCCTGAGACCCTTTTGGGGAGGGGGGGTTGCCAGGTCAAACCATTTTCATAAAAATAATAGGACATTATTTACCTTTGTCACTATGTTGACATTACAGTTATGTTGCAAAATCTGGGTTAGACTGCTGCCTTAGCACAAATCAAGGTCATGGTGTCAAACCATGCTATGGTCATCGTGCTCTCCACCGCCAGGCACTTGCAGTAAAAAAAGAAGAAAAAATGAATGCCAGTTTCACTTTAGAATGCACTTGATGAAGCAGTAAATAAATATTACTTGTATTAACTCTCAACCCTTGGGTACACTGTGTTATGAAATGAGAAGTAGCAGGAAGTGCTTTGGCTGCAAATAAAGCACAATGGTTGTATCAATAGAAACACTTGTATTAATAGCTGCACTTGCAAGCTGAACTAGCCACTTTTGTTCATAGTAAGGGAATGCCGTGATGACACGCGCATATTGGAAGGACCACTCAGGCTGCTGTGCAGAGGATGGCCTGGAGGAAGGTAGAATGGAGAGGCCAGGAGGCCAATGAGGAGGCAGGAGCTGTGGTCCAGGTGAAGGATGATCATGGCACCGTGGATTGGAGTGGTGGTGGTGGGCAGAGTGACTTGGACAGACTTCAGAGCTGCTTAGGTAACGTCCAGGGGAATTGGTAAATAAATACATGGGAGGGGGTGGGTGAGGAAGGAGTCAGAGATTACACCCAGTTCCTTGGGCTTGAGCAGCTTGGTGGATGGTGGAGCCCTCACTGAGTGGGAAACTTGAACAAGAAGTAGGTTTGGGGGCTTCCCTGCTGGCGCAGTGGTTGAGAGTCCGCCTGCCGATGCAGGGGACACGGGTTCATGCCTCGGTCCAGGAAGATCCCACATGCCATGGAGTGGCTGGGCCCGTGAGCCATGGCCGCTGAGCCTGCGCGTCCGGAGCCTGTGCTCCGCAACGGGAGAGGCAAAAAAAGTGAGAGGCCCGCGTAAAAAAAAAAAAAAAAAAAAAAAAAAAAAAAGAAGTAGGCTTGGAGGGTAGTAGTATTCAGGGGATGAATTTGGTTTGGGATGCATTGAGTTTGCTATGTCTGATGAGCATGCAAACGGAGAAACCCAATGGGCAGACGGATACCCCCATTTGGTGCTCATGAGAGATCTGGACCAGAGAGAAACATTTGAGGGTTGGCCAGAGACGAAGGCCCAGAGGAAAGGAGCCTGGTCCATGGTCACTCTGGGTGTCTGAAATGCCTCAGCCCAGGCCCTTTCTGCTACATGGGCCCAACTATAATGGGGAGGGAGCCCCAGAAGCCCCCCTGAACAAATGTCCTCAGGGCCCTGGAGCCAGGGGCTGTGTGGGGCTGACCACAACGGCTATCGTAGACCCTCTATCTCCCCGCCTCCCACGTCTGCTTTCCCTGAAGCCCAGGCCAGATTGTAGCATCACTGATACAATCTTTTTCTTGCCACCCAACGAAAAGCACAGTGACCCTTTTTCTCGCTACTCAATGAGAAGCGCAGTGACGCTCTGGGCTCTGGCTGGGTTCTACAGATGTTTTTCCCTTGACTTTGCCATTTTCATTTTGACAACTTCCCCAAGAAGCAGGGGGTGGGGACCCCAGCCCCAGGTGGTGACGCTGGGGGCTGGCCCAGGCCTGGGGCGTGGAGGAGCCTCACTACCAGGCTTCCTGTCTTTCCGTTTGAGCACATCTCTGCAGAAGTAACAGGCGCTCTCCCCCGTGGGCTCTCGCTCCCAACGCTCACATAGACACACCTGTGCAAGAAGCAGAGGGGAAGACAGATCCAGGCCCAGAGGTAAGAGGAACAGACAGGGCTTTGTTCCTTCCCGAGGGTCGGGGAAGGGGAGAGGAATGTCACAGAAGATGTGTTGGATTTCCAGGTCTCTGCCCACAGCTCTGACCACCACCTTCTCTTGCATTTCATGAGCATTGATCTCCCCTTGGAAATGGGAGCTTGCAGAGGCTGGGGATTACGCCACGCTTCTCTCCGCAGTCCCACGGCGCACAGCTCGGTTCCCGGAGCGGAAGGGTGTTGACTTGGAAGGGTGACTCCGAGAGCAGAGAAGGAATGGGTGCCCCGGGCTGAGAAAGAGCCACTAGTCATGGGGAGTGGAGGAGATGAAGACAGGGAGAGGGGAAAAGAAGACAAGAGGGAAGGAGGGATGGGAAAGACATAAAAATAATCAACAAATATTAAGGAGGGAGGAGGCCTAGAAAAAAGAAAGGAAAAGAGAAAACAAAACAAAAGCAAGAAAAAGAGAAAGAGAAGTAGAATCTGGTCTAGAGACAACTCTACCCCAAAATTAATTTTCCCAATGACCCAATCACCAAAAACGCACACCAGAACTCATACTTGCAGCGTTTCGTGAGCTGTGTGATTGATGTAGCCGCCATCGACTCCCTGTTTATGGGTTTCTACACTTTTGTTGACTTTTTGTACATTTTTAGGATTTTTGAACAATATGTCTAAAGGCACTTCCACTTTAATTAGCTTCAAAATGATTAATGAAGCAGTTGAAAGGTAACATTCCCAGAAAGGGTTGAAACCGAGCTCTTCGGTATGGCACGCTGTAAGAGTGACAGACACGTATTTTTAGGCCACGACATCGTTAGAAAAATTGGTTCTAAGGAATTGGTTTTAGGTGTCTCAGCTGCTCTGCAAAAGGAGGCTAGTGGGGATTAGAAAAAGATTTGCAGACCCTCCCTGGGCTTGGTGTGCGTGTGTGTGTGGGGGAGGCACGCAGGAGGTGATACCCCTCAAGTGGGATGCCCTGAGGACCCCAGCCTTCCACTTCCATGCCCTGGGTCCTTTCCTCTTTCCTGAGGCCTCCCTGGCCTCCAGCCCTGTTCCCTGGGTGTCCTCTGTCCTCCCTTCCTGGCTGGATTCTGGGCGAAGGGCCTCCCTCCCCACGGTCAGATCCCTCAAAATAGAAAGGCCCCATTCTCGCTAATTCAAAGATTTCACTCTGGGTGGGAGAGCTCTTCCTGAACGTCCTGCTCTTGTGGCGTGACTTTTTCGGGCTGCGAGGCTGAGGGTAGAACCTGATGGGGGAGGTCACGCACCTCATGTTCTGACAAACAATTTCTTGCGCTGTGTAGGCTCTGGGCTCGAACAAAATGGCCGCCCTCCTCACCTCAGATGAAAGGGTTCCCAGAGGACCAGGTCAGAGAGAACCCCGGGCTGTTTCCCTCTCTCAGCGTGGGGCCCCTTAGGTAGAAGAGGCCCCCCTGGGATAAAAACTCCCCCTACCGACCGGTTTGGGGCAGAAGCCCCTCAGCCCTCAGGCCCTGATCCTGGCCACGGCGATGTCCGCCACGCAGTTGGAGACCAAGGGCCCGGCGCACTGTAGACCCTCAGTGAGCGCTGGTTGAATGAACCACCTCTGATGAGGGTGGGTGTCAGGTAGGAGCAGGCGGGGGCCTGGGTTTGTGGGCTCTGAGGCTGAGGACTGTTCTGCACCTTTCGGGGGATTGTGGTAGGAGGGGGGCTCCGCTCTCCCCACGTGGGCGTCAGAGGCAAAGGAGAGGATGGCGGAGGTTGCAGCCAGGGAACCACAAGGGTCCCTTAGAGGGACCATGTCTCTAGGAAGTTAGTTCCTGTGAAGCCGGGGAGCAGTAGCACCCGGGCGCGTGCGGTGGAGGCCGCATCCCGCGGCAGGGCTGGAGGAGGCTGATGGGGGCCGTGGGGAGGAGATGAAAGCGCCTGTGGGACCACAGACCGGCGCTGCGGTGGGGATGCGCCCGCCTCCTCCCCCCCAGCCTCGCTCCTCAGCGCAGCCCGGGGCGGGGAGGCTCCGGGCGCCAAAGGTGTGCGGGGCCTCGCCACTCTGGCCTCTCCTCGCCTCTCTTTGGGTGTCCTGCTCCGGGCGTGGGCCTGGCCTCTCAGAATTTCCTTCGCTTAACCTCTGCCCCTACCTTGTTTGTACGCCCCTGGGCTTTGTGTGTGATCGTGGACTGTGTGAAGTGCAGCTGCTCTGGGTCCTCTCCCTGCCGCCCTCTTTCCTACCCATCCTCCCGTCATCCTCCCTTGGGGCTTCTGTGTGTTTCTCTGAATCTGTCCTTTCCCTTCTCTCTTTTTAAAAAAATATTTATTAATTTAATTAATTAATTTATTTTGGCTGCACTGGATCTTCGTTGTGGCATGCGCGTGGGATCTAGTTCCCTGACCAGGGATCGAACCCAGGCCCCCTGCGTTGGGAATGCGGAGTCTTACCCACTGGACCGCCAGGGAAGTCCTTGTCCTTTTCCCTTTGTCCAGCCTGCAGCCATCTCCCTGGCATCCGCCCCTGGGCTCCAGGCTGTGTTCTGCAGGCTCCCTTCACATAGAGGCTTGTGGAAGCCCGCATCCCTGCCAGAGGTCTGGATGCCGGTTTCCAGGCCAGAAGGGCCTAGAGAGTAGTGGCAGCTGGAGAGAGGAGGAATGCTAAAGGAGAAGAGGCAAGGGGCTCTTAAGGTGAGCCCAGGAGAGCCAGACTCACCTCCTGGTGTCTGAGGCACAGAGGAAGGGGGACACGGATGCAGGGAGTCGAAGGTGGGGGCATCAGTGTGGGGAAGCATAGGTGCAGGAATGCACAGATGTGAGCAGAGAAACGGGGGGAGAGAGGAGCCAGGGCCTCGGGGACCAGCGGGCCCTCCCAGCCGCTCTCAGGGGCTGTGGTGTACAGGATGCTACTGTACCGGGGCAGAGCGCCTCTAGGGAGGCTGAGGATGTGGAAATCAAAGGCCAGCTCTCTGAGGCAGCAGCGGAGGCCCCAGACACCAAAGCAAACAGCGGCTGGAAACCCAGAACCTCCCCCATCAAGCTGAGGCCTGCGGTGGTTTGGGGCAGCGCAGGGAGCTGGTGGCGAGAGGTGGCCCTTGCGCAGACCCCAGGATCACCGAGTGGGGAAGAAAGAATGACCACCACTTGGGGAGAGGCAAGAATGTCCCCAGCCTTGCCCAGGCGTCTAGGCTGACTTTGGACCCCAGGGAAGGGCTATCCCACATGCAGACTCCTTCACTCTCCCCTCACCAAGGACACGGTGGGTCTGGGGTGGCGGCAGTGGGACCCGCTCTCAGATCTCAGTGGGACCCCAGCCTTCCCCTCTGTGCCTCCACGACCTGGGCCAACTTGCAAAACAACTTCGCCCGTGACTAGCCTCCCTCTTCCTTTCCTGGAAACCTTCTTCATGACCTCTTCTCTTCCTATTTCCCTGGTTTAAAAGAATTCTATCCAGTTCCCACCATGAGTTAGGCCCGGGATAGTTCCTCTTTCAGGCAGATGGAGCAACAGGAGGGGGCTTTCCCCCTGCCCCCCAAACCTCACGAGGAGGACCAAGCCCTCAGCACCCATCTGAGTGCTACATCCTAATCATGGATCAGTGCCCAACAGGAAACAGAATGCGTCTCAGATGGTTCAAGACCATCTGCAGAAAGAGGTGTGGACAGGGGCCCAACCAGCATGTTGAGGAACCAGATACCAGTAGGAAGAGGCAGAGTCTTGAAGGGCCAACCAGTTGTTTCTAGAACCCAGTGAGGGTTTGAGCTGTGGTTAGGGGGCCATCTGACAGGAGCTGCAGTTGCCAGGGGAGGGAGCAGGGAGAGAGGGAATACAGCCATTGCCAGAAAATATGCCCAGAGCCGGGAGAGAGTAAGGATCAAATACCCCAGCCTCTCTCCCCGGCCCTCCCATCTCTTGTGGGTGCTTCCCAGTGGCCAACCCCAACCAGGAGCTGGAGCATGAGGGAGCCGGGGTGACGCGCTGTGTAGGGTGTGTAGCAGTCAGCCTCCTTGTGGAAAGCAGGGCAGAGAGGAAGGAGCATGCCTGGGGGGATGCGCACAAGAAAGGCAGCGTGGACGCGATGATTGGGCTTCGTCCAGGCCAGGCTTGGGTGGGTACAGACCCTTCAATGACCCATTTTAGTAACAGAATTAACATATTGAGTACAGAAAAAAGTAATCAGTGATTTCCCCTCTTCTGTTCAATTCAATTTGGTTTAAGTTACCCAAACACAACCTGAGACCTTTCCCTGTGCTCCAGCTGGTGCCAGTGGCAGCATTGCTGGCTGGACCATCACCTCTAACCCAGAGGAGATCAGGGTGGTGGAGGAGAGGTGGGAACCCAAGTCATTGTACCCGAAGGTAGAAGGTGGGATGTGCCCAAGGGGGTGTCAAGTTCAGAGTGGGAGGCTGTGGGAGTTCAGAGGGGCAGATCATTGCAAAGGTGGTCTCGGGGGAGAGAAAGACGAGGCAGAGCAGGAGAGAAAAGTAGGTCTGGATGCACAAACTCTGGGCCAGGTGCACGCCGACACTGCCCCCAAAGCCGTCTATGCTCTGAGGCCCGCTTACAGCCTGGGCCTGGAGTTCAAAGACACTTCTTTAAACTGTAGGACAGTTGATTTACAACGTTGTGTTAGCGTCTCCTGCACAGCAAAGTGAGTCAGGTACGTGTATATATATACATATACATTCTTTTTCATATTCTTTTCCATTATGGTTAATTACAGGATCTTACACAATAGGACCTTGTTGTTTTTCCATTCTGTATATAATAGTTTGCATATGCTAATCCCAAACTCCCAGTCCAACCCTCCTCCACCCGGCTCGCTCGAAGGCACTCGAGCCTGCCCCTGCCTGCCTTCGAGGCACTGTCTGGTGGCCTTCCTTTAGTCTCTACTTCCTCCATGTCATCTGTCTTGTCCCGTTACCACATCAAGCCTCCTAAAGCTCTACAAAGACCACTCACATCTCTGCTCAGAAAAACAGCAGCGACTCCCAGTGGCCTGCAGAGCTGAGCCCTCACCCTCTAGCCTGCCTCTGAAGATTCAAGGTCAGGTTCCACGCCCCCTCCCATGTCACCCCCCACTACTTCCCTCCACAGCCCCCTGACCTTGCACGTGGCAGTGGGATGCCCCTCCCCTTTCTTTTCCAGCTAGCTCAGGGCTTTCAGACTTGAGCGTCCAACAGTCGCCCAGAGGTTTGTGAAAACACAGGCAGCTGGACACACCCCCAGCTTCTGATTCAGCAGTTCTGGGGTGGACCCGAGAGTTTGCCTTTCTCACATGTTCTCAGGTATCAGCCGTTGCTGATGACCTCTGACCACACGCTGAGAATCACTGCTCCAACCCAGTGCCGCCCATTCCTTGAGGCCTGTTCAGAGCCTTTCTGCGACCCCCTCCTCCACAGCCTTGTCTGTCTTCCAAGCCCACAGAAACTCTGAAACATCATCTTTCTCCTTGTCCCACTCAGAGGCCTCATAGGGTCGGTCTGACAGTGAGCAGGGAATCGCCCTCTGCTCTTTCTCTGGCCGCATCACTCACACTGAATCAGGCCCCAAGTCCTGGCAGTTTTATTTTATTTTTTAAATATTTATTTATTTATTTATTTTGGCTGTGCCTGGTCTTAGTTGTGGCATGTGGATCTTTAGTTGCGGCATGCAGACTTCTTAGTTGTGGCATGCATGCAGGATCTAGTTCCCAGACCAGGGATCAAACCTGGGCCCCCTGCATTGGGAGCGTGGAGTCTTACCCACTGGACCACCAGGGGAGTCCCAGTCCTGGGAGTTTTAATTCAGAGCTCCTCCCTCAAGTCCGTCTCTCTGAGTTCAGGCCTCATCTTGTCTCATCAGGATTCTTTTTTTTTTTTTTAACATCTTTATTGGAGTTAAATGATGCTTTACGATGACGTGTTAGTTTCTGCTTTATAACAAAGTGGATCTGTTATACATATACATATGTTCCCGCATCTCTTCCCTCTTGCATCTCCCTCCCTCCCACCCTCCCTATCCCACCCCTCTAGGTGGTCACAAAGCACCGAGCTGATCTCCCTGTGCTATGAGGCTGCTTCCCACTAGCTATCTACCTTACGTTTGGTAGTGTATATATGTCCATGCCTCTCTCTCGCTTTGTCACAGCTTACCCTTCCCCCTCCCCATATCCTCAAGTCCATTGTCTAGTAGGTCTGTGTCTTTACTCTTGTCTTACCCCTAGGTTCTTCATGACATTTTTTTTTCTTAAATTCCATATATATATGTTAGCATACGGTATTTGTCTTTCTCTTTCTGACTTACTTCACTCTGTATGACAGACTCTAGGTCCATCCACCTCATTACAAATAGCTCAATTTCGTTTCTTTTTATGGCTGAGTAATATTCCATTGTGTATATGTGCCACATCTTCTTTATCCATTCATCCGATGATGGACACTTAGGTTGCTTCCATCTCCGGGCTATTGTAAATAGAGCTACAGTGAACACTGGGGTGCATGTGTCTGTTTGATTTACGGTTTTCTCAGGGTACATGCCCAGGAGTGGGATTGCTGGGTCATATGGTAGTTCTAGTTGGAGTTTTCTCACCAGGATTCTTGAAATCCTGCCTCCAGTGTTTGACCTCCTCCAGCTCATTGTTTGCTCAACAGCTGAAGGCATCTATCTTGTAAATCTACTCCTGTCCTTCTCTAAGTAAATCTCCCTAGCGCCCAGGGTCGAGTCCCAGCCTCCCAGTATGGCACTCAAGGACCTTCATGACCTGGCTTGGCTCCCTGGTCCTAGTCCCAATTTACCACCTGCTCCGAGAATCCGTTTCTGGTCCCACCTGGCAGAGAACCCACCCCCGGTCTGGGTACAGCATGTGTGGCACGTCCAGTGGGTGTCTTGTTTAGAGATCTGCACGTCTAGGTCCTGGCATGGCTGTCCAGGTCCTGAAGGGGTCCCAGACCAGGTGAACGCCTGCTGACTGATGACTGGTGTCTCCCCAGGCCCTGCCTTTCCTTTGGGGGAAGGCCCAGGTCCCTGCCTGCCTCAGCAAAGCCACAATGGACCCCAGAACCTCTCTTAGGCACCTGTTCCTGGTGCTGCAACTGGGTGAGTGCTCAGACTTGGAGTCTGGGTGCAGGTGGCCTGGGAGGAGGGGCTGATTGGGAAATGCAGTGTGCGGGGGGATAAGGCGGAGGCAGAGCAGCCACACCCTCGAAGCCTGACCCCCTGTTTTTCCACCTAGTGATGCTCCCAGCCGGCACTCAGGGGAAGAAAGTGGTGCTGGGTAAGGCAGGAGAACTCGCAGAGCTGCCCTGCAAAGCTTCCCAGAATAAGAGCCTGTTCTTCAGCTGGAAAAATTCTTACCAGACCAAGATTCTGGGGCGTCATGGCTACTTCTGGCACAAAGGTAGGCTGGCCCCACTCCCCGTTCAGACAGGAAAGCCCCAGGGATTGAACACCCCTGGTGTCAGAGCCCAGCTCCTAGTAAACTCTGGGATCCTGGAAGTTCCAGCTGAGGGTCTCAGGGACTCTCCAAGTCCAGAGCCTCCCTCTGCCAGCTGCTGGTGGGCTGGGGAATGTCTATTATAATTTCATTATATTAATGGATATTAGAAAAATAATTATCATATAAAACCCATGATTTCACGAATATTGTTGCTACAGATCCATGACCATACTTGGTTTACTTTCATTAAAAGCAATAGAATGGGGGCTTCCCTGGTGGCGCAGTGGTTGAGAGTCCGCCTGCCGATGCAGGGGACACGGGTTCATGCCCCGGTCCGGGAAGATCCCACATGCCGCGGAGCGGCTGGGCCCGTGAGCCATGGCCGCTGAGCCTGCGCGTCCGGAGCCTGTGCTCCGCAACGGGAGAAGCAAAAACATGGACCCCCCCGTTACCGCAAAAAAAAAAAAAAAAAAAAAGAGAGGAACTATGCATGTAGAAGCATATATATATAGGTTCCCCTCTCTTCTTACATAAAATCAATTTATCATATATGGGTGTATATTATATGTATATATATATATGGAGAGAGAAAGGGAGAGAGAGAGAGAGAGAGAGAGAGAGGCTATATGTTAATTAATTAGATAATGTTCTAGGTGCTGGTGACATAATATAGTAAAGAACAAAAGAGACATTCAGGCAATGAGCACACCATAACAATGCACCTGGTTCTAACCTTGGGTTATTTTTTTTTTCTTAAACTTATGCAGGTATTTTGAAGATTGTTCTGTATTCAATATGTGTGTGCATCTATCTATATCTGCATATATCTGTCCCTCTCTATATATTTCTGCCTCATTTCTTTTCTGTGACTGCATAGTTCTTTTGTATAATTATACCATGATTTATTTGACTATTCCCATATTGTTCGACACTTAGGCTATTTTCATTTTATTGCTCTCACAAAAAAGAATTCTTCAGTGAGTCAAACCTGGTATCTTTGGAAACATGTACAAATGTCTCTGTAGGATGAATTCCTAGAAGTGAAATCTGTGGGCCAGGTCAGCTTGCTCTTTAGATATCTTTTTATTATACAAATTTTGCTGAAATGGCATCTGCTATAGTAAGATGCAACTGTATATCAATGTGCACTTTTCAATATGTTACTTCCTTTATGTAAATTTTATTGATGTTAACTGTTTTTTTCTCCAGATTTTTAAAGTATTACATGCTCATTATAGAATATTTGGCAAATGCAGAAAAGAATAAGGAAGAAAATCAAATGCACACATAATTCTACCACTCAGAGATATCTGTTGTTAACATTTTCATTTACTTCCTTCTGATCTTTGTTTAGTGTGGAAAATATATATTATTTACATAGATGATATCATACTATACATACTTTTTATCCTACTCCCTCAGAACATTATATCATGATGGGACAATCAATTATTAGGCTAATTTTTTAAAGTAATCTGTCAATGTTTACTAAATACAAAGTTCTAAAATCTTTTTACCTAGTAATAGCTATTCTGGAAAATCTATTTTTTAAATAGTTTTATTTTATTTATTTATTTGGCCATGCCACGCGGCTTGCGGGATCTTAGTTCCCCAACCAGGGTTTGAATCCCCACCCTTGGCAGTGAAAGTGCGGAGTCCTATCCACTGGACCGCCAGGGAATTCCCTGGAAAATCTATTTGACAGAAATAAAATTAGGAATATTGCATGAAACCTGTGCAAGGATGTTGTTATAAGCATTGCTTATAATATGAAAGCACAGAATTCAAACTGAAAACCCATCAATGATGAAAGGGTTAAACTATGGTGCAACTGTGGAAAACTATGCAGATAATAAAAAACAAGGGCTTTCCGGAAAATTGAGTAGACATACATATTAGTCTGCTTGGGCTGCCATAACAAAATACCATGGTCTGGGTGACTCAAACAAGAGAAACACATATTCTCACAGTTCTGGAGGCTGGATGTCCTGAGATCAGGGTGCCAGCACGGTTGGGTTCTTTTATTTATTTATTTATTTATTTATTTATCATTTTTAGCTGCATTGGGTCTTCATTGCTACGTGCAGACTTTCTCTAGTTGCAGCGAGTGGGGGCTATGCTTCATTGTGGTGTGCAGGCTTCTCATTGCAGTAGCTTCTCTTGTTGTGGAGCATGGGCTCTAGAGTGCAGGCTTCAGTAGTTGTGGCTCACGGGTTCTAGAGTGCAGGCTTAGTAGTTGTGCCACACGGGCTTAGTTGCTCTGCCGCATGTGGGATCTTCCTGGACTAGGGCTCAAACCCGTGTCCCCTGCATTGGCAGGCAGATTTTTAACCACTGCGCCACCAGGGAAGCCCCATGGTCGGGTTCTTAAGAGCGCTCTCTTCCTGGCTTGCAGACAGCCACCTATTTGCTGTGCCCTCACATGGCAGAGAGAGAGAGGGCTCTCTGGGGTCTCTTCTTATGAGGGCGCTAATCCCTCCAGGAAGGACCCACCCTCATGGCCTCATATAAATCTAATTACCTCCCTATCTCCAAATATCATCACATTGAGTGTTAGGGCTTCTACATATGAATTTTGGGGGAACACAATTCAGTCCATAGTAACATACTTTTCACTCTTCCTCTCACGAAATACAAATGAAAACCTAGACATTGCATATAGAACTAACATAAGAAGATTCTGAAAGGTGTTGAGAAGAGAGCAGACTGGTAGGGACCTCAGGGCCTGAAGAACAACAGGTTGGCGAGTTTTCTTTTTGCCTCGAATACCCCAGTCTTGGAGCTGAAGAAGCCGGCAACCTGGAAGCTCTGATGGGCACAGACGAAAATAAGCCTCACAGAAGCCTGCTCTCTTTAGTCAAAGGACCAGGAAAGGAGCAACCCAGCAAGACAAAAAACTTCAATATAACGACTGCTCTACTTCAGCCAAACACCAGAGGAAAATTGTGACCCCACACCCTCCCATGCCAACAAAGGCTGAATGGGAGCTTAAACTTCCACACACCCCCACCCAGGCTGTATAGGCACCCAACACCTCCACTGAGATGGGATCAGAGAATGCAAAGTAGAGAATGGGGCTGTGCATCCCCACCAGCCAGTGAGAAGGCTCCTCCACCCCCTGTAAAGTCAGTGGAGATCACAGGAAGATCCTGGACTTCCACCCCACCCAGCAGTCAGGAGGCACCCCACCCTGCTGGGGTGGTGTCAGAAGAGGTCTAGTGGAGAGTCAAGACCTTTACCATCACCCTGTAGTAACCAGGATCTATGGAGACCACATGGGGAACTGGAACTTCCCCACGTGGGGAATTGGAACTTCCACCCCTGACCAGTTATGAGGAGCATCCCCCTCTAGCACAGTGGAGAGTGAGAGGAGAACCTAGATTTCTTCCTCTACCTGGCAGTAATAAGAACGGTATAAAAGAAAGCCAGTTAAAAAAGAAGGTTTAAATAAGATCCAGAATCTCATAACATAACACTCAGATGTCCAGGTTCCAAGTGAAAATCACTCTTGATACTAAGAACCAGAAACATCTCAAACTGGATGAAAAAAAGAACCAACAGATGCCCACACTGAGATGGAAGAGAGGTTAGAATTATCTGACAAATACTTTAAAGCAGCCATGATAAAAAGTTCCTCAGCAAACAATTACAAACATGCTTGAAACAAATGAAAACCAGAAAGCTTCAGCAAAGAAACAGAGGATGTTGGAAATTTCCTGGTGGTCCAGTGGTTAGAACTTGGTGCTTTCACTGCTGGGGCCCAGGTTTGATCCCTAGTTGGGGAACTAAAATTCCACAAGCTGCACAGCCTGGCCAAAAAAAAAAAAAAAAAAAAAAAAAAGGGTAACATAAAAAGAACCAAATGGAAATTTTAGAATGGAAAAATATAACCAAAATACAAGGGATCAATGAATGAGCCCAACAGCACATTGGGGTGGGGGGGACAGAGGAAAGAATCAGTGAACTGCAAGATAGAACAATAGAAATTACACAATCTGAACAACAGAGAGAAAATAGAGTGGAAGAAATGAACAAAGCCATAGGGACTTGTGGGACTCTAACAAAAGATGTAATATTTGTGTCAATGAGTGAAGGAGAAGGGAAAGAAAATTGAACTGAAAAAGTACTGGAAAAAATAGTGGCTGAAAAATTTGCAAATTTGGCAAGAGATATTAACCTATAGATTCAAGAAGTTGAGCAAAGCCTAAGCAGGATGAACCTAAAGAAATCCACATCAAGACACTTCTTAGGGCTTCCCGGGTGGCTCAGTGGTTAAGAATCCTCCTGCCAGTGCAGGGGACACAGGTTCGAGCCCTGGTCCAGGAGGATCCCACATGCCGCGGAGCAACTAAGCCTGTATGCCACAACTACTGAGCCTGTGCTCTAGAACCCGTGAGCCACAACTACTGAGCCTGCGTGCCACAACTACTGAAGCCCGTGTGCCTAGAGCCCATGCTCTGCAACAAAGAGAAGCCACCGCAATGAGAAGCCCACGCACTGCAACGAAGAGTAGCCCTGGTCACCGCAACTAGAGAAAGCCCACACACAGCAACAAAGACCCAATGCAGCCAAAAATAAAATTAAAAAATAAAATAAATTTTAAAAAAAGACATCATAATTAAACTTCTAAAAACTAAAGACAGGGCTTCCCTGGTGGCGCAGTGGTTGAGAGTCCGCCTGCCGATGCAGGGGACACGGGTTCGTGCCCCGGTCTGGGAGGATCCCACATGCCGCAGAGTGGCTGGGCCTGTGAGCCATGGCCACTGAGCCTGTGCATCCGGAGCCTGTGCTCCGCAATGGGAGAGGCCACAACAGTGAGAGGCCCGCGTACCGCAAAAAAAAAAAAAAAAAAAAGTTGGTATATACTGCAAGATCACTTCTAGAAAGGTTCTAGCCATTTACAATAAGTCTAGATAATAATGTCACTGTGTGCCTATCTCACCAGCACCCTTGCTGACACTGAATAGTAATATTTAAAACTTTTTTTTTTTGGCTAATTTGATGGTTGAAAAATATAGCATTGTTGGTTTAATTTGCATTTCTATGATCGCCTGTGAGATTGAAACATATGTACTCCCTTCTAAACATTCTTACCTCTTTTGTGTTGACGTTTTTGTTCTGTTCCTATGATTTGAATTTCCTTCAGAACAGCTCCCCTTCCCGGCTTCCTGATCTCTGACCACGGCAGCATCACTCTCCTGACTCCCCCAGTTTCTGAACCATAGAGCCAATTTTTTTTTTTTTCCCCTACTTCAGTCCCTGATTTCCCATCCGTCACTGCTTATGGCCATTCCTTCCCGTGGAAGTGTTTTTCTGTTTCATCTTCTTTGTTCTCATGGGAACTCCACCCTCATTAGCCAAGGCCACATACCCCTCCCCTGGATTACAGTGGAAGCTTCCTGGCAATTCTCTCTGCTACCAGTCTCTCCTACTTCAATTCTCTTCCTCCTGCAGCAGTACCGGCTCCCAAAGCAATGCTTTGCGTGTGTCACTCCCTAGTCCATTAGGCTAAGCCTGGAAGCCTCTGCCTGACATTCTTCCCCTCAGCATCGCTTGCTGTAGCTCCCCAGCCGGAAACCTCACACCCAGGTGTTTTCCTCACTGCTTTTTTTTTTTTTTTTTTTTTGCGGTACGCGGGCTTCTCACTGCTGTGGCCTCTCCCGTTGTGGAGCACAGGCTCCCGATGCGCAGGCTCAGCGGCCATGGCTCACGGGCCCAGCCGCTCCGCGGCATGTGGGATCTTCCCGGACCGGGGCACGAACCCGTGTCCCCTGAATCGGCAGGCGGACTCCCAACCACTGCGTCACCAGGGAAGCCCCTTCCTCACTGCTTTGAGGTGGTTGCCTGTGCAGCTTTCCTGGAGATTTTCCCCCTTCCTAGATGTCCTTGCTGCAACCCTTTCCTCTAGCTCACCGCCTGTACTTCTTTTAAGGCTTGGTTCAGTACTGGTCTCCTCCATGAATTGATCCCAGATGCATTGATAATCTTTGACCTTTCACAAAGTAGAATCACTTTTACAAGGTATGGAACAGTCTGGACAAGGGGGTCATGACGAGGCTCGGAAGACGTTTTAAAAGGGAAGCAAGGAGGAAAAGTTATTTTAGGGAAAGGGTGTTACATTTCATTTGGAACCAATTGAGTTTTGGGTGATGGCAGGACATCCAGATAAAGTCATCCCTTGGGCCACTGGAAACGTGGGCCCAGGATGTAGGCGAGAGGCTGGGGCTGGGGGTCATCTGCAGAGCTGACAGGGGATGCGGTGGAATTGAGAATGTCTACAGAAACGGGGAAGAGGATCCAGGAGAGAGTCCGGAGTAGCACCTAAATGTAGATAGCAGAATAGGAGTCCAAGGTGAAGAAAAGGGAAGGGTGCTCAGATGTGGAGGAGAGAATCGAAAGAAGTGACACGGGGGCAGAACCAGAGGAGGCTACCCCTTCAAGAAGTTTGGTAGATTGTAAAAGGAATGTAGTAGGATTTCAGAAAAATTGGGGAGCTAACCAGCACACAGATCCAGGGGAGAGAGCAGGTAGGGTAGGGACTCCTGCAGGACAAATGAAAGGGGAGGTGGGCAGAGCTGGAGGAAAATCGGGGGTGGGTGTGAGCCCAGGGCTACAGGTTATCTGGAAAGGTCTCCTGGAGAGGGTGGCCCTGAGCAGCGGGAAGGGGCTGTGAGGTCTGGAAGAGGCAAGAAGGGAGAATGACGGCCGACTTGACAGTACGTCTCCCGCACCAAGGCCAAAATGGGGAGAGGGCCAGGGGGTTGAGGGTGGGAGCTTTATCTCAGCCGCCTTCACCCCATCCCTGCAAATATGCATTCTAAGTAAAAGCCTGTGTCTTTGCTATGCAAATTTAGCTGCTAAATCCCTTCATTGTAATGAAGTTCTGGGGCTGCTGCTGCACCCAGAAAATGGCTAGCTAAAGAGAAGAGCTTCCTCTGGGTGCTGGTTGTTAGTTCTGATGAGGAGGCTGGAGGAGGCCGCATGTCCGTGCTTGCAGAACTTTCCAGAGACAGTATTGCACAGCGTACCCAACAGCCTGAATCTTAATCCTGGCTCCACCACTTACTGATGTCAAAATTCAAAAGGTAGGGCTTCCCTGGTGGCGCAGTGGTTGAGAGTCCACCTGCCGATGCAGGGGACGCGGGTTCGTGCCCCGGTCCGGGAGGATCCCACATGCCGCGGAGCGGCTGGGCCCATGAGCCATGGCCGC